CCCCAGGGCTGGCCCCCGGGGACACGCATTGTCAGGCCAAGGGCAAGCTGCTGTGGTTCTTGTCATAAGATTGGGGTGACTGCACGTCTGGGAATCTGGAAACTCAGTCTGCTTTTGGGTCTGGAAACAAAATGGGAAGATGGAACAGGAACTGGGAGTTAACAGAGGAGGAGGTCTGTGCGGCTGGGGGCTGGTAGCCCGACTTGTCCTCACCCTTCCTTACGGCCTATCCAACCTTGCCCCCAGGCGCCGTGGAGGTCCAGGTCCCCGAAGACCCCGTGGTGGCCCTGGTGGGCACCGACGCCACCCTGCGCTGCTCCTTCTCACCCGAGCCCGGCTTCAGCCTGGCGCAGCTCAACCTCATCTGGCAGCTGACGGACACCAAGCAGCTGGTGCACAGCTTCGCCGAGGGCCGGGACCAGGGCAGCGCCTATGCCAACCGCACGGCGCTCTTCCCCGACCTGCTGGCTCAGGGCAACGCGTCCCTGAGGCTGCAGCGAGTGCGCGTGGCCGACGAGGGCAGCTTCACCTGCTTTGTGAGCATCCGGGACTTCGGCAGCGCGGCAGTCAGCCTGCAGGTGGCGGGTGAGCGCCGGCAGGGGGCGCCCTCCCCTGGAGACACGCCTCCCTTCCCGCCGCCCCTCACCTCTTGGGCCATCGCTGAGCCCATGCGTAACTCCAGCCCCTTTACTGACCCGTGTTCCTCCAGGTGCCCTTTCCTCTCCTGTGACCCCCTCCCCCGTCCTTGCCTTACCTCGACCTCTGCCCTCTGCCCTCTGCCCCTCTCCAGCTCCCTACTCGAAGCCCAGCATGACCCTGGAGCCCAACAAGGACCTGCGGCCTGGGGACACGGTGACCATCACGTGCTCCAGCTACCGGGGCTACCCGGAGGCCGAGGTGTTCTGGCAGGACGGGCAGGGTGCGCCCCTGGCCGGCATCGTGAACGTGACCACGTCGCAGATGGCCAACGAGCAGGGCTTGTTCGACGTGCGCAGCGTCCTGAGGGTGGTGCTGGGCGCCAACGGCACGTACAGCTGCCTGGTGCGCAACCCCGTGCTGCAGCAGGACGCT